TGTGACCGTCGGTAGATGTCAAAGCCATCGAGTTTTGGTGGGTTATAGTGTTCTGCAAAGTCAACTGCTTACGTTGAGATAAAGTCCTTCTACTGCAAGTTGTGAAGTAAGGAATCGTCTAATTTTCAATGAAGTAGACAGCTAAGTAGTTTGTTGTGCTGGCACGTATCCTTGAGAAATAACAGATTCCTTTTTCGTAGTTTTCGCCTACCTGCCTGTACAAATCCGGACGGAATGTGCTGGTTTCTGACCAATTTTTCCTGTTTGATGTTTTAGCATAGGTAGTTTTGTGTTCTAGTTTTTGGAGACTACTGTGTACATTGTGTCCACCCGAGTTTCACTGATTGAGATCGTAAGATTCCGCTTCACTTCTCACCGTACTTTTCGGGTTGCTTGTATGTTTCTGAACGCGCAGGGTCGTATTTCTTGTATCCTGTTCAACGTGCATGGTTCTGTGTCAGTTTTCTTGGAAACCTCTAGTTTTTAACGTGGAACTGCGTGTGTGGAACTTTTCCGAGATGGAAGTCCCGAAACTGGTATTATTTTCCGTTGATAGTACTCAACTGGCTGTTCCTTTTACAGATGTGTTTTACCTTAGCCCATAAGCCATCACACAGATACAGGGAAATCCAGCTACATCGGACATCGTTGTGTTATGTCGGTACTGCGTCCAAGAATGCCATATATCAGTGTCCGAGTTTCAGAATGAACTGTTGTGTCATGAAAAATATATATGAGGAGTGTTTTAACGATATAAATGCTTGGTTTCGCAATAATCGCACCTTTGCCCCGGAGGAAATCATTGTTACTTTCACTTGCTGCCCCAAAATTTCCGGATTTCTATTTTGGTAATAAAATATTTAAAAGATCAACACTTTTAAAGCACATTATTCATAGGAGAGACTACGAAGAACATCCGCCCTCACGATGATGCTTAAACAGCATTTGCTAAGGGGACTTTGGAGTTTCGGCCGAGATCCCAACGTGGTAATAAAGTCAGTTTATGCGAAAAATCTTGAAAGAACAGGTGGACTGCGTGTAGAGTTCTCAGCATGAGTTGACTTAGAATTCAGAACGAAATCCCCACCTGGAGTTTACTCATGCCATCGAAGTTTTTCGGGAATATCCGCACCGAATTCAGAATGATGTGGAACATATGGGACGTTCTGGGTGACATAGCTTAACTGATGTTGAACTAATTCAACCGTATCGCTATTTTTCCCCGTCGCTATTCGATGATGTTGCTTCATCAAAGGTGTCATTGTTGAAATATTCAGTTAGGATTTCCGTCTCTTGCCTAGAGTGCATCTTGCATGCACTTTGGACGCATGGTAGCTATACTTTTCACAAGTCAGTTTGGACAGTGGGTGATTCACTATGTCGACCTACACTAGCTTATCAGTTGGGTAATGAATCGGCGATTTTATCTGTTCTTTCAAGTCCCAACTCCTAGGACGCACCTTAACGAGGATTAACAGCCGGGATAAATTCCTTGTCTCGTGCCTGACGTAGTTGTTTTGCTACTTACAATCCATCGAGGGCGTGTTGAGTTGATATGTTCCACAAGCACGTGGCTTTTAAAATCCTGCCGACTTGTTTTGTTGTCCTGGTTTCACTGGTCGATATGCAGAGTATATCGGGTTTCCTACTCAACTATGTGGAAATCAGTTGTGTGCCTCTTTGCTAATGTTGGCTCTGCACCAGTAACTTGGTATCGGTTTATCCGTGATTTGGAAAATTTATTATTTCAATTCAATGCTTGGTAGGCATAAGATTTTATTCCCTGCAATGAACCGCGTAGACATACCCTTGTGAGGAAATTCCTCAGTGGAGTCAGCAATCGGTTTGTCCGAGTTGTCGTGCTTGTGGACGCTTTGTGTTTCCAAATACGGATGTGTCGGATGTTCTCCTTTAGGTTTGAGGTAGCTTGTGATACTAGTGTAACGGTGATACTACTGATTGATGGGCACGCGAGTAGTATCTGTTGTTCGTGGAATTTCGCTTTGCGACTCTTGAAAAGGGGAGATCTGTTGCGGAATTTGTGGAGTCACTTTGTAACATTGCTTCATTTTGATTGGAGTCAATGAATATCCAGGAAAGTTCAAGGAGACACGTTCAGGAGAAGATGGATGTCTATTTTTTGTAAATAAGATGCAAATGAGAGTTTTGCATCCCTGTCCAGCCAGTTGGCATTTTCAAATAAATAACTCCGCAGCAAAGGCCTTCCTTTCACTAGTAAGCTTCGTTATTTCGTATTTTCGTATTTATACACCATATTTTTTATGCATATACCATGCCTCTGTTTGCTTTCTACGTTGTGAAATGCATATATAGTCTTTCTTCATTATCGCTCTCTTGAAGTCTTATCGGATTAATTCCATCAAAATTGCATTAGTTGACTTCCAGTTATGTGACCTTTCGTACGCAGCAGTCAAACAAAACCGTTCGCGTGAAAAGGCTTAGCTGATCGTAGCTGGTTTTCGACCATACCGGTAACGCAACATAAAAATGAAACGTTGAATCTAGTGAGCTTGTATGGGGACGTTCTGAATGTACCTTCTATAAACCACATTTGCAGACAGCAGCTAAGTAGAATGTGGGACAACTATGCTAGAAGGTCACACCTGAGGTGCGGCCAGAACTCGGTGTTTTAATCAATGCTCGTGCATGATCGCGTCACGAATATTGTCGTGGAGTTTAAGACGGAAAAAAATTATTCTTTAGTGAGAGCATCCTTCCAAGGAACCACTTTTGTAGTCTCTCCGGAGTAGTGGACTTTTAGTGAGCTGTTCTTATTCGAGAGCGGCTGAAATTATCATGGCATGGTTTCCTCTAGAATGGTTGTGGATGTCCATAGAAGTTTTAGCGGACGAACCACAGCTGGCTTTTTCTAAATGGTGACCTATACAGGAAGGCCACTGTTGCAGTTTTCCGATATACAGGCCAAGTGTTTTGGGGCCTCTGACTTGTTGCGGAACAATTTAGTTGCCATGTCATTGTACAGATATCTGGTTGTCATCAGAAAGCTTGAAGGCCCACTGCACAAATTTCTAATCCCGTTCCGTATTAGGATGGGATTTCGGGCCACGTAGGGTGATCCTTGTGGAGAGTCTCAAAAACTTGCCAGGGATTAGTCTCAAATAGGCTGGTCTCTCTGGTGGGAAGGTTATCGGCTTGGATTAATTTATATAGTTTACGGGAATTCCGCCTATGCTGACCCATCTGATACCTTGGTGGCTGTCTACTCCCGATGAACTCATTTGTCTGATTCAGGACACTCGTCTCCCGTCACTTGTAAGGTCGATAGAAACTTCCGAACCGCTGAATCGCGGTTTCACCATTTTTGCGGCTCACCCCACATCCCCACACGGAATGTATTCGGAATTAAGCATTCATTTACAAAGTAAGGTATTAGGTGGAGACTCAGCCGAATCCTGTTTATAGTATTCCTCATCTGAGTCTTCAGCAGAGCGACCCAGTCATCTCTCATTTGAAGAGATTCTCAGAATATCACGCTATTTTTCATTGTGAACCTACTTATGAAGTTCATGGTTGGTATTAAACTAGCAACGTCGCTAGATAATTCCTCCATTTCATTAGCCTTCAGCGCATGGCCGTCGTTGCAACCTTATTGTGTGTGTTAGCATTTTAAATTCTGGAAACCAAACTATTCTGGGAAGCTGGGAAGCACTAAGCGGTGATTTATTCGCTCATGGAGCTAATCATCCCGTGACGTGTACGGCGTGCTTCTGGGGGCGGTCGGTGTCATATCATGTCAATCGGCGTTTTACCAAATTGCCAGTCAACAACCCTTATTTGTGTTCAACTACTAACCTGGGAGATCGTCTGTTACTAGAAACTCCTAAGATGGGGGATCTCTGGTAAATGACAGGGAAAATGGGACAAATGTACTCAGCTCATCGACTTTACTTACAGAATGTAATACAGGATGGAACTACACCTCGTACGTGAAAACACATTAATCGTTTTGGTTTGACCGCTGGTTGTTGGTCTGTTTTCGGAGCCTCGCGATTGAATTACAAGCGTTTCGTCAATAATGGAGGGGACGTCGTCACCGCAAGTTCGACCCGATCGGAGGATAATTGTCCTGAGCCCTGGACACAGGGTGTGTTTAACTGTTTTCTCTGTATGACTTATTTGATCCAAGTTCCAAACTGTCCTGCTATCAGTGGTTATGAAAGTTTGAGACAAGTAGTACATACACAGCGTTTAGTCTGGTAAACCAGTTAATCACAACGTATGAAATTAGTTCTCAATCGTGCTTCTAAATATGATGTTCCTATTGATTGGCGCTGTCGATTGTTCTGGTGGTGCTTGGGGTATACACAATATTATTCATACCTATTTTGAGGTTGCGTTATCTGGACTGACTCAGTTTGTTCATCTAGATTGGCTACCTTAATTGTTTCTCACTATTTGGATCTATGGAATTTGTATAGTTGAGGCATCGCAGCGCCACCGCAAGGCTAGTCAGATACATTATCTCTGGTTTTCTGTCAGAATTTCATTCGTATCATGCATGATTTTTTAACTGCTACCCATGCGCGCCACGTTGGTGGAGGTAAAGCTGCCACTCATAGCGTTGAACCGTACACCTGCCGACGTCAAGGATCACGGATTTATGTCAGTCAACTTCTAGAGGCAACTGTGCGTTCGCCTGGCCGAGCAGTGATCAGGAGTTGGTAAAATCTGTGTAACGGAGTAAAACCCTTGTTCCAACTTCTCCGACGTTTAAAAATCTCCTTATTAATATGGCTGGGCCACTGTGCTTATTGAATACAAGTGTCCTGCGTCTTTTCTCTCCGTGTGAATTCCATGACCGCTGTGGCCTATGCACAGGAGTTTATCGAGTCCAAATGCACATGAGTTCATAGATGAACGTTTACATATTCATGACCCGCAGCGCTACTTTGGATAAACCTTGATCACTCAATGTTCCAATCAAAATGTGGGTTTGCATTACAAACGAACCTACACTGTCATTCAAACAAGCTAAATAAACCCCATCTGGATTCTTGGGACGACCGATGTTTCATCTGTTTCGTGAATCGAGAGTCTTGATTACCATGTCAAAGCTCAGGCTTCTGACGCAAGCGCCACTAGAAGATAATAAGTTTGGTAATCAAATGTGTCATCACTAGGTGGATTCAAGATATGATCTCGCTGCAAATCATTTTATTACCTCAACAGCTATTCTGACTGTGTAATTCCCGAACACACTTCTCTCCCTGTTAGCTATAAACATGCCATTGACGGTCTCGTCCAAGTTATCCGTAATGAAGGCACATTGAAGCTTTTCAACGGAGTTTCCATGACCTCTGTACGAGCTGCCTTCATGACTTTCGGTCAGTTGGCATTCTACGACAAGTTCAAAATCCTCCTTCTCAACACGGGTTACTTTGATGACAAACCGGTCACCCATATGATAGCCAGTGCAAGTGCGGTGAGTTTGCCTTTATCAGTTTGACGGCGTTCTTATTAGTCACACACACTACTTTCTATCAGTTGGCGTGCCGAAACCTGTTTTCATACTAGTTGTTATTCTGGTTGGGCTCTAACTGGCTCTTCTCTGTCTCTCTACTTAGTTTATCGATTCAGAAATACCTGGTACTAGTCTGATCATCAGAGAGCTAATTAAACCTGTCACCCGGTCCCGTTTTAATCCGCTATGAATATCTAGTCTACAAAGCGAACGCTTTCACCCTACATTTCTAAGATACACTGGTTTGATATCCGACTTTAGTTGAAGTTGGTCGTCGATGCAGAATGTGTGACCACATTCGACAATATCTCCCAGGAGCTCTACCAGACACCCCTGTAATGTCCACACAACCTTTCTTCATCTTTCATGAACTTATGCCCCTTCGTCCGTGCAACACTTGTTTAGCTGTGCAACTTTTGCCCATTGAATATCATTACAGGTAATAAACGAGTAGGAAACACCTGACCCCCTTACATTTATGCAACCATGTTTGCCACAAGTTAGTCAAACTTGGTGGGCCATACTGAGAACTGAGGTCAAACATGAGTATCATCATCATCATCATCATCATCATCGACAGCATGACATCAGTTTTCAACACTGATGCTCCACTGCCGTACATGAGTAGCTAGCTTGGCAGCCATTTGGAGATCTTTCTGCAGCAATCCGGAACAGGTTCCAGGCGTGTTCACCACTCCATACAGAAACTGTTGTAACGAATACTGGGCAAGCGAATTTCCAATACTACGGATGGTGTCACGGTAAATTCATGATGACTAGCGGAAATCTCCTGGTAATGATTGTTTTGCCTATCACCCAAGAGACGTTTCACTGTTTTTCACTGTATCGACATCGTTGTCGTCCAAAACAAAATGTCTAGAAGTAGGGAGAGACAGAAGGTTGTTACCATAAATCTTCGAAAGTAACTTACACCGTTGATGAAGAATAACACTTGCTGCTTAGTGACCAGAAAGACTGTTCTCCGCTTGCTTAAGTGATAAGGCAACAGAGTTGCTAGAGCGCGTCCGGAATTTCGTTTGATTTCGACGTGCAATTTAGTTTGCATTAAGTTCATATAATCCGATTCCCATACTGCAAGTGTCATCCCAACCGTTAAACGCATCTGTGGAAAAGTAGGTTTTCCTATATCGTTTACCTTTCTGTTTGGTGTCCATTCTGATTCAAGTGAATTAGCTCCAGCGTGGAAAGTCTAGAAATTCGAAACACCGTCGAGTACACATGCAGCAACACCCTTTTTCTCAAAAAGACGTTTGGTGTGCGATGACTTGATACTTTGTAATCATATGTTGGAGTCAGAAACCGGAGTTCCCATAGCTCAGTATCCGAATCTGTTTGCTATACTGCCAAGGGTTCTTCACCCTTATTAGATCCTTTTATCCTTTTGGTCCGAAAAACCGACTCCCCGCAAATTTTGAATTCGTATTTTTCGGCCGCAGATGTGGTTACGTACAAATGAGTATCTTAGACACAGCTTCACTTTTCTTTCTCACTAATAGGCCGGTGTTGCCACGTGCATCACACAGCCATTTGATGTCATGAAAACGCGGCTGATGAACGCCCCTCCTGGAACCTATTCGGTAAGCCGCGATTCTTGCGGTTAATTTTGCACTACTAAGCTGTAACCCAGTAGCGTGAATTTGCCGGGTTTATTTTGCACACATGGTTGAGGTTATCTCCATCATCATCATACATGGATTTTATGTGAACAAACTGAACGAAAAAGCTGAAACGATAGAACTTACATTATTGCCTATTAGAATGTAGATTTTGGTTGTTTAGAATCGTGTGATCGTTTATAATGATGGCCTCTTGGTTTTGTGTTTATTCCGTTCTGTTTGAGCCTGTCTCTCGCTTGTTCGCTTTTACATATGATATCGATTTACAATTTACAGGGGCTTATGAGTTGTGGTTTGGATATAGCCACTACCGGACCGCTAGCATTCTTCAAAGGTCTCGTTCCAGCATTTATTCGTCTCGCACCCCACACGGTCCTTACTTTCGTATTCCTTGAACAACTGAAGCTTCATTTTGGTTACATACCGGCACCCAAGCCTACATGAAACAATGACTTATTCGACCCCCCTCGGTCGCCCTGATGTATGCGTTCTGTTTTCTTGTTCGTTTTGTGGTCCAGCTGTTAAGGTCGTGTTATTTCTGAGTAGGATTTGCTGAGTTTGTTCACTTCTCTCTAGATGCTAACTAATCCCGATGATTTTCTCCAGTTCAATTTGATATTTTGCTGGCATGGTCATTTTTTAGGTGAATATCTAATTCTGTTCACTCACAATCTGCTGATTACCATCTTTTGTCTCCATCAAAATGTTGGTTTGGGAGTGTTTGGCAATTAAATGCTATCAGGACAACCCCCGAAACGACGAACAAGTTTCTGAGCCAAGCGAGTGCCCTTTGAGTTTTGCGGACAAATTGTTGTTACACTGGGCCTCCTTGTTAGTAGTTGTTTCATAATTCCGTAGAAAAATCGATCTCGTTACATCCCCAGAAATGAGAGAATGGTTCTTAGGGTCCTCGCAGAGAGTGAAGACAATGTGGAGAATGCAGCCATGGGCAAGATGTCCAGTTCATACGGTATGATCTCCTCGAGCAAACCTGATCATCCTGTTGCTGAATCAAGTGAGCTCTTCCCAGAAGGACACAGGTGCTACACTGCTCAACTTGACAGTGTCAGGCGATGGATGGAAACGCGGTGTATTTCTCTAACTAGTGCGGCCGGGAAAGCTTTATCTACTGTCCTGACTGATCCGGCTTATTATTGGTCACCCACGGATATGGTCACCACGAACATATGCCGTCAGTTAATGCCTGCATTGCTGGCAAACACCCGAAGACGTCTGAGACAGCGGAGGTGTAATTTCAAGGTCTCAGAGTGGGACTACTGGCCTGGCCGTTTTGTAGAGGTGCATTTTAGCCTCATTGGAATTTAGTTATTACACGAAACACTGTGCAACCTGACTAATGCTGCTCACACTTTGCTGATCTGTGCACTGACTTCCTTTGTCATGTGAAAGCCATACTTCATACAGTTGCCTGAGGTTTCCCAAGGGTATGAGAATTCCTGAAATGAGGCATATTACTTTGAAGGGGAAAAGCTGCGTGCAGAAACAAGAGGCCGTTTCTGATGTTCCATCTAAAGCACTTTGCAGACGTATGGTTGTCAAATAACGGGACATCGTAATCCGTTCAATTCAAGTCTATCAGTATCTCTCCATATTTGGTTTCCACACTAGGATTCGTTACTTCTTGGAGAATGCGCCTGGGGATGATACCACTGATAAAATTGGACGAAAACTGAAGCGAGAGAGAGAGACAATATCAGCTAAGTCAATCACTTGTGGGAGACTTGAGCTCATCGTAGACCCTAACGCGATTAGCATTATGAAGAGTGAAAGGAAACTTCAAGCACAATCCTCGTGTATATGCGTGACACTGATAAAATGCATTGTTTTCTTCAGAACTATGTTGCCTTTTGGAACAGTTCGTGTGGTCTACAAACGCAAGCTAACCAAGACTGCATCCGCCGGCGTCCTATGGTAGTACCAATAACTATGCTGTCCAACTCCATATTGGTTGTGTTTTCTAATCCTTAAGACCGAATTGCGTGTGATGACAGGCATTCTAAAGAGTATCTCTATCTGGAGCAACAGTACAAACGAAATTCCCACCGCGTTTCCAAAGACAATCTAGCTGTCAGTGTGACTGCGGAGTTAACGGGAGTGACACACGGAGTCAACTGATTACCTCCTCACAGATGCATGACGGATAGCATTAATGTCTGTTGCAGAACGTCACGATCCAAGTACAGCTGCATTCGTGGGCGAATTTGGGCTCCGGCTTTCGAGCATTTCACTATGTCTAACCACCTATGTATCGATTCCCGACCAACGCACTTCATCATAAGGAGTCTTATGCACCCCTGTAAACCCATGATCGTAACTCCCTCAGGCCATTTACACCTGACACAAGTCCGGTACTGGACGAATATTTCATCGTTCCCCCATCTCCAAAAACTTTCAATGGAATTGTATTTGTGATTAGATCTTTCAGGCAGTCTCCATCAAGCATAGTCAATGGTCAGGTGCTTTCTAAGCGCCCACAGTGACCGTTGTTCTAGGTCGTGTAAAAAATTGGGCGCGTTTCAACACTAAGTGGCACACTAGTCAGAGAACGGAATGGTGTCACTCTCATACGTATGGGTGAGTGAAAGGCGCGCGATCTTTCGCTGTTTGCAGATTAAGTTCTGAGAACTTCTAAGCCCGTCATTTATCAACCATATCGATTAATTGAGTTTACTTTTAATCACCACGACTAAGTATTTGGCGCACGCTAAATTACAGAGCATGACGACGTGGTTTATTCAAAATCGTTTGCAATAAAATGGGGTATGATCCTACAGTGACTGGACGAGCTGCGTGTCATATGCTTGCGAATGAATGTTCTGAGGAATTCCGGATTCTGCTTTCGTTGGCGGTTAGACTGTATCATTCCCTGAGCATATGGGTGACTGAATTTAGATGTATATTTTTACGGTGTTTTGCATATAATACTAAGCTGTCTATTTCCATCAGGAGAAATTCGACCGAAGTCTATCCTTTTTGGATATTTGGCTTACCAGACATTCGGATAAGATGAGCCGTTTAGGGTATATACACACTGAGTGGTCCGTATCCTCACACCAACAGTTTCACGTCAATAACAGCATAGGTATGGGAACAAAACAAGATGCACGGATTGCAAGCGATCGTTCCCAGGGGGTTATCATTCCACACGGCAAGCGAGCCCGACATCAGGCAGCAACTTGTATCTTATCGGCTGCTCAACTACTTCTACTCGGCAGCGTCCGAGCACTTGTATTTCAGATATTCCGCCACACGTCAGTTATCAGCCCACTTACTGTTGCAGTGAGGCTTATAGGTAGAACGGGTAAGTACCTCATTGAGCAGATATTTGGACACGTCGCGAAACAGTTACTACGTATCTTTAAGCAAACTAGATGGGATCCATCTCCGCGACACAGAAATATGGGTGACCGGTCGCAGTACACAACTCCGAGAAAGAGCACACGGTTAGCCATTCTCAAGTCTTTGTCATACCACTGCTCAATGGCAGTCTGAAACTTCCGGGTTTCGGGAAGCTCCTTCAATCAAAGCACAATGACTAAAGCTATGTGCCCAAAATATTAAACCACATTAAATCACATAGTATTACTCTTTTCGTACTCCGAATCAAGGACATGTTCTTATGGAGTCACCTGCCGACTAAACGCTGCGGTCCTAATTTTCATAGATGCATGTTGTTAGCACCAAATCAGCGGTAGCTGCCCTCTCACACTACAAACAGACTGGAGCACAGCACCACTGTGATAAACACTAGGGAGCATGGAATTTATCCCCAAATTCCTGTACTCGGATGAGCACTTTTCATTAGACTTTTTAAAACGGAAGTGAGATTAACTTGAGACGCTACCGATGTTTTGCTTGTTACGTACCCAGAAAGTGTGCTGTGGTTATCTAAATCAGTTTTTTGCTTCATTAGACAGATAAACCTTCATATTATGTCGATGCACTCAAACTACTTTTCGACCCACATAGCAGACTTAAGTAGGCTCCCAACTGACGGTGTGATACGACCGGCATCTTCCACCGCTTTTTTATCTGTGTGAAGTATGATAATTTGATGAAGTCATCATGGACTTTTAGAAGCCTATTGTGAGAGCGAATGCGAAGTGAATGGAACCTTGGAAATGAGGTGGCTGAAAGAGTGCGATTGAACATCACGTCACCAATAAGGATGAAACCGTGTCGCGCTTATCATTGATGACTAAAGCAGTTTGTTCTGGACGGAAGAACGGTTTTGTTGACGAAGAGTCGGAAAGAGATGGCGCATTTGTCTCTGCAGCTAAATTTCCAGAAGACCTGGTAGGGTTACATTAAATATCACAGATTTCCGTGTGAAATACACTCATTTACTCACTAATTTTGTTTTCCCGTAAACTTATGAGTAAAATGTTCTGCCCGGAAAATGCCGCAGAGTTCATTGTGAGTTTCGAATGAATTATGTCACTTGTCTTCTATCAAGCTCAGCTATTCCCTAGCAAAAGCAATAATCAAAATGGATTCCTGGTGCCGAAGTTCCTTGCAACCCCATTTTTTTCGAAAGTAACTCTGAATACCGGAGAAGAAATAAAACCATATTTCGTAACAGAAAACAGACTTTAGCTATCCGCCGACGGTCTGGTCAACACCCATCCAGCTTTAAATAGCACTAGTTAGTATGAGCAGCCAGGGTTGCTTTTCGTCATCTATTATTCCAGAGATAGCGCAAGTTCCTATCCGGCCATAGTGGTGTTCCAACGTGGTAATCATATCGGGGAATACACTTCTGGTTATTTATTGTTCGCTCAAAGCAACCGGATGTGTGTGTGGCCTAATTTCGACTACCGTATGCCTATTTGACATAATGTATGACCTCGCTGAATCAGGCAACAATTGTTCTTCCGCTTCTATGCACCCATTCAGAGTCAGGAGCATGAGCATTTTGGTCGATTCAGGTGTTAACACAAACATCATGCGTTGAATGGATTGAAAGCATAGTGAATAAACCAGCCCCGATGGAATTGCCCCCCTGTTCAAAACGATATTATTAGTGTTACAATCATTAGTTTTAAACTGGGTCACCATTGGAGCTGAAATGTTAGGTGAGAAACCTGGGCCAAAGACGCTTCCACAGTCATAATTCCTTGGCCCAATATGATGCTGTACGTTTGTATGCAACATAGATTGTCCTCATCAATGAACCTGTAACGCAAGTTGGTTGATAAAACAAATATCTTCAGTGTGATTGGTATTACTAGTTTTAGTAATTTCAGCTAGTGTTTGATCATCACTCGCATTGGGAATGAGGCACGGTGTTAATCTCAAACGTCAGCACAGTCAGGTCGACAACTGAATCGCTATCTGAGACCTCATAGGCGTTGATGTTTCATCCATACCTCTCCGGTTGTTTCTAATGCGTTGAATAGATGCAACCTTGCGAAATTCCCCAATTCGGTTTTAATGGGAGGCTCGCGTGGAACCCAGCTGAATCTCTCGTTTATGATGTTTTCAAGCAACTGAATTCCCTGCACCAGACTATCCCATGTTTCAGTTGGCATGATATTCGAGATATCGCGATACATATATATTTTTTTAATTCGCTACTCATAAGGTTGCTGAAAACTCTTCGACAGCCCACGACCAGTTTCGCCCTTTTTGGAGCTCATCAGGTAGGCGCAGTCCCCGGGTTTCCGTCAACTTTATGTTCTAGTTGAAACCAAATAGCACGAAATTAGCGAACTACACTCATTTGCAAATCAATTTGGTTTTACGAGAGACTCACCTGGAACCCAGCTGAACCTCTCGTTTGTGATGTTTCTAGGGAAGTGAATGTACTGCACCAGGCCGCCTCGTGTTTCAGTCGCTACGATATTCGAGATATCGCGATGCATTGCATAGAAGAATACACTACTTAGGTTCAACGCAGCGCATCAAGAGGGAATGCGATGATATTTTCATAACATTGTGTTGACTAAAATAGCCACATTTTACCTAGCACACGACAAACTAGCGAAGGATAGGCCAGTTTACAGCGGTGAACACGATAAAATTCAAAACTATAGGTTTTGCGGATAAAGGTAACAGTGATAGCGGCCGTTCACTCAAATTAAATTGGAACCTAACTGGTGATGTGGTACTGAAACAAAGAATGTGAGAAGATTTATTGCCTTCTCTTGCCAACCCAACGCGATCTGTCAGTTCCGTAGTATCATTTGATGCGGATACATCAGGAGAACAACGAACGTACGCGTCGCTGGATACTCAACAATGTGGCCCAGGAAGCAAAGTAATCTGGAGATCATCTGCCACCTGACAAAGATTGTGACATCTTC